GCACCAGGTAGGGGCTGGGCTTTTCTCCGTGCGTCCCAAAGCTTCGCCTCGGGCGCAGAGTAAACGTCAAGGGGTGACGGGGCTTCCGCGGGTCACCTTCCTGCGGGTGTTTTAGTTGGATTCATCCGTATCGTGACACAAAAGCTCTGTCATTAGCAGAGCTTTCATAGCTGTACAGGACCAAACCCTAGAAGTGCCTGGGTGCTGCCCGAGTCCCACGGCCGGCCTCTTTCTTCCAGGTCAGCAAACGCCTGAGGGGTGAGGTTGGTCTCCTCTTCACCAACCGCTCCAGGGAGGAGGTGGATGAGTGAGTACGCCTGTGTCACAGCCATGGCTTTGAAATGCTCAGCAGCCTTTTTTTCCCACTTGACTACTTGAGTTGCTGATGTTTCTCTTAAAGCAGTGATGATCTCATGAGGCTTTTCCGCTTGTCTTTCTCTGCCATCCCTGCAATGGGGGGGAAGAAGTTACGGCAGGCTATGCCATAATCCCCGTCTTAGCCCAAGGGATGTTCTTTGCAGCTGAAGCCCTCGTTACCCGTCTGTCTCAGGTGGTTCTCCAAATTCAAAGAGGTGGACTTTGCCCGCGCGGGGAACAAGGCGACGTATGCGGTGAACCTGGACACAGGGCCCTTGGAGCAGTTCCCCCACTCCATGGAGCCTCAGTTACGGCAGCTGGGGTTGCCGACGGCCTTAAAGAAAGGTATGTGAAGCGGCCGAGGAGGTAAGCTGCATTTTTTGGCTGTGCAGGTAAGATCTTTTAAGGAGAATGTTAAATAATCGAGTAGAATTTAGTTTTGGAGAAAATCTGATGGACAACTTTCTCCTTGTTTGGCTGGTGCTAGAACTCATTATATTCTTGCGCCGTTCTTCCCAAACTGATGTCAAAGGACGAGCGAAACAACCAACTTCCGACAAGATACCATCCTTTTCCAGTAGAAACAACTAAGCCTAGCCTAACCCAGCGCGTTGGCATCCCATTCAGAAACCAGATGTGGGGTTTTTTTTTTGGAGTTAATCTTGCCCAGCCTCTTGGGGTGTACTAACGTTTGCGTGGAAAGGCATACGCTACAAAGGGTGGTGTTTGAGAGAGTCTTAGCTTTGCACCCCGCGTTTCAGTGGGCTTATCAGTATTTGTGAGCCTATTTCAAGAGCTTTTGTTCCTACAGGAGTGGTGACGCTACTTTCAGATTACGAAGTCTGCAAAGAAGGAGACGTTCTCACCCCCGAGCAAGCCCGCGTCCTGGTGAGTGACGTAACGCAGTGTCTCCGCGCGCCCGTTTCCCCCGATACAAAATGATCAACTGTTCAGCTTAATTCTGCTGGAGGGTGCGAGTTCTCGGACGAAGGTGACCGGTACTTCTGGGTACCAGTCAGCGGGGTGCAGCAAACATCCTTACGCGTTCCCAGTGCGAGTGCTAAAACCCTGCAGCGATTATTTTGGCTCGTGCTTTGCTGCAGTTCCCATCCGGAAGCGTTATTTACCGTAAGTGGTTTTGCTAGGCTGGGCATGGAGACAGTGGAGCAGAAGTGACAGATTTGTGTCCTTTCCTAGAAACTCTTTGGCTACGAGATGGCGGAGTTTAAAGTCACCATCAAATTCCTCTGGAATTCTGAGACGGGAGAATTCCAGAAGCTTGTGGGAAACACAGCGGAGGAGGAGGAAGAGGAGGATGACGATGATGATGACAGCAGTGAGGACTAGCAGCAGTCCTTGCGCTTGGACTCTAGACAGTTCTACTCTATTTTAGAGACAGAGAGGAGGATGTTTCCCTTCCCTGTTTGCACCCAGAGGACAAGGGCAATCGGCTCAAACATGGTCTTCATAAAAGATGACCTAATCATGCTTTTTTTAATATAAATCTATATATAAAACTTCAGATGGTTGTCACTGCTGCCTGTTGGTGTTTGAGTACCCCGGGATCTGAGGAAATGCCACCTCAAACATGAAAGCTGGGCAGAAAGCGTGTAAGCGTAATGCAACTTGCACATGGCATGGCTGATGCTGGGGAAGATGCTGAGTGTTTGTTCTTCTGATAAAAGCTTCAGAAGAAGCTATTTAGCTCAAATCACCGAGCACTGATAAGGAGATGCCAGACAGGTTATAGCTACAGTTAAGAGATAGGGCCTGTATTAGAAAAAGGTTTTATTCTTGTACGTAATTATTTAAGATCATATTAAAGCATAACTAGGGCCTTCATCCAGTGTCCGTTTTTCCCGATCAGCTGCATCTTTAAATCATAGTGTGTGCTGCGTAGAGCTGAAGGTCCATGAGGGGAGAAAGAATAAGGCATGGCCCAACACGACAAGTGCTGACAGCAGTAGTGGATCCTACGAAGCTTCGTTAATACAGGGAAAAATCACAACCCATTTACATGTCAATCAAAGGGGCAGGGTGGGTAAGTACCTCTCCCCTGCTTCGAGAGACTTGTGCTGGATTATACACCCCCACGACACCCACTTTCCTGTCCCCACCCTAGTCTCTAGCGGAAATAGTTGGGGCAGTCGTGCGCAGTCAGGTCCCAGGCTTTATCAAACGCCTCCACGACAGCTGGGAGCAGGGGACCCTCTTCACTGTAGTCAAGGTTCTGCTCTAGCTGCTCCAAGTTGGACATCCCAACGATCACTGCGTCTCCAACAGAACCCTGGAAAGCGGTAAGAGGAGTTGCTGATCCCAAAAGAAACCTAGTTCATCTCCCAAGCCACTGCAGGCCAAGCTTTAAATGTTTTTTTCGCGTAAAGAACATCCAGTTACCTCCTGGATGTTTAGAAAACCGACACCACAAAGTTCTGTTCACAAGGCCAGAACATCTCCAGGTCGTGCCAACTCCTCAAAAGCTGCCAAATCCTACCTTATGGGGGGCTAGGGGAACGTTTTGGGGAAGATGGGGAATATAACCATTAATTTCCTAGTCTGATGAAAAGCGAAGTCATCTCCTCGCAGGGAAGCTGTCTGGGTGGGAAGCCAAGACCCCAGTAACTGGCACTTAAAATCTTCCATTTCTGCCAATCCCATGAACACAGGATACCGTGGGGAAACGCAGAGCTGACTCACTCCTACAGCCTGGCAGGCAGAGTCCGTACAGCAATATTCACTTCGGAACACCACAAGCCCATGGGATATGCAGATTACAAGATAACTGTTTGTACGGAGACATTTCCCCATCTGTCTGCTGCAACAGCTGCCCAATTCTGGTGGTGCTGCACAGGCCTGCCAGCTACAGCCGCATCAAGCTCTCACCTGCAGTTTGGAGTGATTGTACAACCAACGCAAAGCAGCAGAGGTCAGGCTGGGTGCATTGGAACCGTAAGCATCTTTCAGAGCTCTTTCTACTAGGGAAATTCCTTCAAAATTGTGCTTTTTCCAGTACCTGCAAGAAAAGAAATCACTCTTATTGCCCATGGGACTTCTACTGAATGGTACATCTATATTCCAGTCGCATACGAAAGGCTTTCAGGAAGCCTCATGCAACTCTTCATAACCTCCGAGGACAACGGCAATCCCCCCACTGCAAGCCAGGAGGAAGCGGAGCCTAAAAACCACTCTGCAAAGCTCAGTCATGAGCCACAGCCCCAACTGCATGTGCAGACGTAATCACTGCACAAGCTTTGGTCAATTCTGCTTCCTCTCAGCTGATGATTAGTGTGGTTTTTTAATGCAGCCACTCCTGCCACATCTCCCTGCTTGTCTATCAGCTCAAAACGTACCTGTCCCTGTAGGCTTGAGCCCAGTCATTCCCAAAAAACCTTCCAGTGGGCTGGCGTGTGTCTTTGTCCTCGTACTTGTACTTGCCGGTCAGCAGCCCTCCTGCAAAGGGTCAGTAGCACGTTTAGTGATGGCTCTTCTACAGCCCCCACTTCGCATGTTTTTGTCTCGCCCTTTCCCTCCCCGTACCTGCCAGCGGATTGTAGGCGTAGAACCGCAGTCCATAGTATCTCAGGCAAGGGAACAGCTCGGCTTCCACCTGCCGAGTGGTTGCGTTGTACATACCCTGTACAAAGATGAGGGAGACAAAGAAATTAAAACACTAGCTCCTGACAGTGGTCATAAGCACCTGGAGCAGCCTTTTCCCCACCCTTCCCTAAAAATACTCTTATCCAGAAGAGGGGCTTCAGGTCACACAAGGTTATTATCTGCTTAGGAACAGACTTTCTAAAGGATTGCAAGTAACGCAAAAACTTTTAAGTTCCACATCAAGTGAGTCACTGACTCAAGCAACAAACGCGTACTCAGCTTTTTCCGAGAAGTGAGCTTGCCCAGCTTTCTAATCACGTGTGTCCTGACAGGACTTCCCAGATAAGGGAAGCAGCAGCTTCCTTTTCTGTGTTTATATCTGGCAAACTGGGGTCCGAGATCTGGGGCTCCCAGACCCTTCCCCAAGGTGACTGACCATTGCTGCAAGGACACAGAGAACCACCGCATGCTGTTCTGGTCTGAAGCCTCGTACTCTTTCGGTTTGATTCATCTCAGCCTCCACAAAAGACGTGCTGGACCACAGCAAGCCCCCATCCCTCACCTGGTACACAGTTGGCATCACCCAGTTGTTGTATTTGCAGATGGTGCAGATTTCTGCGACCTCCCACGCTGCGTAGTTTGATAGACCAAGTTCTTTAAACTTTCCCTGCAGAGGAATAAAAGGGTATTCAATTCCAGATTTTAAAAGTGCGTTTGTACCTAGACAGCGCAAGATGCATTCGGTGAAAAGGAGAGTCGCCAGATTTTATTCCAGAGTTCTTTCCTCATCCCTGTTCACCTCTTCTAGATGACTATGAATTATAAGACCTGACAAAAATATTTCCAATTTTCTGTTCATTTTGAATTCAACTCTTCTAATTTTATGGCACTATTAGATTAATGCAATTCAGGAATTATTCTTCACCCATTACCAGCACTACTCTTAACCTAGACAGTTAACACGGCTGAAAGCAAAGTTCACATATTTTAACGTTTCCAAGAGCTTTTGAGAACAAAGTGCACCACGTGAACACACAACACAGCACCAGCTGTTTGGCTCTGCCCTGGTCACCTGTGTCCCCTCTGCCCAGTGTTGCACAAACCCGGCACTGCAGAAAGGCACAACAAGCAGCCCTGGTTTAAAAAGGTGATGGGGGCGAATCAAGAGATGGTCCAGGCTTGGACTTCCCACTTTACTTCTTTGTGCAGCTCATTGCAGGCACGCAGCGTCTCCTCCACTGGGGTCCCATGGTCAGGAGCATGGAGGTAGAAGAGCTCCACACTCGTCCTCTTCAGCCTCTCCAAGGACGTGTCCAGCTGTGATCGCACACTCTCGGGCTTCAGCGTCTTCCCATCCCAGGGATTGGCCTTGGTGGCAATTTCCACTGGCAGAGAGAAAGAAAGAATGAGCAGGGACATTTCCACGTTCAGGAAGGGAATGGGGATAAGGGGCATAATGCAAGCATTGCTCAAGGTGTTTCAGGGAAGACCCTTCTCCTCGGGAACCATGTCTGCCTAGCAGGGGGGGCCCTTCTCCTTAGGGACTGAAGGTCTGCCGGAGAGAGAGAGGCCCTTCTCCTCAAGGCCTGGGGGTCAGCACTAGCATGGGAGCCCCTTCTTCTCAGGGACAGAGTCAGCCTGGCAGAGCAGACCCTTCTCCTCAGGGAACATGCCTAGGGAAAAGCTCCTCCCCTCAGGGACAGTGTCAGCCTGGCAGGGAAAGCCCTTCCCCTCAGGGAACGGGCCTGGGGGAAAGCCCTTCTCCTCAGGACCGGTGTCAGCCTGGCAGGGAAGACCCTCTTTCTCAGGGAACGGGCTCGGGGGAAAGCCCTTCCCCTCAGGGACGGTGTCAGCGAGGCAGGGAAGGCCCTTCTCCTTAGGGACGGACGGTGTCAACCTGGCAGGGAAGGCCCTTCTCCTTAGGGACGGACGGTGTCAACCTGGCAGGGAAGGCCCTTCTCCTCAGGGACGGACGGTGTCAACCTGGCAGTGAAGGCCCTTCTCGTCAGGACCGGTGTCAGCCTGGCAGGGAAGGCCCTTCTCGTCAGGGAACGGGCCTGGGGGAAAGCCCTTCTCCTCAGGGACGGTGTGAGCCTGGCAGGGAAGACCCTTCTCCTCAAGGATGACCCCTCTCCTCAGAGACCGCTCCCCCTCAGCCCCACTGCGACCGGCCCCGGCCGTACC